TAAGTCTACCCAGGACCAACATGAAGTCATCTTCATGGTTGTGGTTCAACATCAGTAAATTTATCCTGGATCAACATTAAGATGATGGTCCTAAATGGCTATTAGAAAATCTCTCCAGAGTCAATATCATAATGATAGTTCTGGGTCAACATTATTTCAGAGCACTTAAGGATGAGGGACCACTCTGACTACTTTAATGATGACCCTTAACACTGCTACTCCTAAAACTATTTATAGTCCTCATTTAAATGAATCATGAACAAAAGCTTGAATGTTCTTGGAACTAAAATAAGCTGCAAAATGCTTTAATGTATTTTAAAAGGCTTTTAAGAGGATATGCTAATGTTAGCTACACATACAAAATACTAAGGATGAATCGGAAATAGCTCCATACTACCTACACAGTGCACCATGTGAGTCATGTAAAATAGCACGCTATACATCCATCAGGTAATTGTGCCTTCATGACTGAATCCCAAACAGCTCTTTGTTAGACATATTATGCACTGTTGATGAAGTGCACTACACAGGGAGTAGGGGCCGTTTGAGACTGTGCCTAAGAGTGCTCCTTTAAGCTGACATGGTTGACTTCTGATAAACGCATAATGTTTATCATCACTGATGAAGAATAATTGTTCAGGAGGACCAAAACTTAACTTTGATTACATGTTTTATTCTATTATACTCAGATTTTATTCTCAGTAATTTGTGATTATTTTTATTAATCCATTCATCATGAAATTTTGACATGGTGTAAATATTCAAATTCTATAAACCAAAAAAAAGATTGTGTTCCAATAGTATATATATATATATATATATATAAGCTTATTTCAAACACATTCCCTTCAAAAGTCTTCCTGCCAAAGACGGCCGAAAACAGAGATGCCAAAACCAACAGCTTTCTCATTTTGCCTCCTGTAGCAGAGCTGCTCTGTGACTTTAGCCTTATATACTGTTTCTACTCTGATGGGGTCGTCTGAGTTGCTGCACAGAACTGACAACAGAACAGTTCCTACTTTTCTTCATGAAACAACTGACAAACAAACACAGTTACACTATAACAGTCCTAACAGCCTAAATAAGAAATGAATAAATAATAAAGTTTGCCACATTCAAGTGTTGCTTAGATGATTATTTTTCATCAGTACTATTACATATTTATTATAGATGTTTAATATTAAGTTATATATTTAATATTAAACCTGTTAGTTCTATTTAAACTATACAATTTTATATACTATATTACAGCACATGCATAACAGAGCAAATATCATTGTATAATGATTAATGCTTCATCAGCTTACAGTACTCAAAAGAAGTCCCTTGACACTCTCTGAATACCACTAACATTGTGTTTATGTATTTTGTACCAAAATTTATTTTAATAGTAATAATTTAAATAAATAAAAATGAACTGAATCTCTGAAACTTCAGATGATCCTGTAATTAACTGAAAACTTAAGTAAGACAAGTAAAAGTACTGAAACATTAGTGTCTCTTTCCTTTATGCAGATCAGTATTTAATATTTTGTTTTAGTCAGCATTTTGTTGCATGTCTTTTCATTTGGATGACAGCTTTAAATCTCCCAGGAATGGAGTGAATGAGGTTGGACATTTGATGCTCAGTCAGGCTTGTTGGACGTTGTTTTGGATGGTCAGAGGGAGGCAGTTTTTGAACACGACCTGCACATTTTATTTTTTATTTTGAAATTTTCAGCATATCTTTAATGTTTCTTACTGACAATTTTTACGGACAGATTTTAAGCAGATTAATTCAAATCAATATTCATGTTTTCTTAGTTTTCTAACTTTCTCTGTTTTTCAGAATGTTATGATGCCAAAACATCATGTCCCCCTTTAGACACAATGTAGGTTTGTCATGAACAGTGACATTTCCCACAGGATCTTAGCTTAAAACTGAGGAAGTCCAGAGAGTGAAATAAAGATCTTTGTTGTTCTTACCAAGGCCTCTTAAAGGAAAGTTTTGGCAAAAATGTATACAATTTTAGTGTGATTTAAGTGAATTGGAAGAAGTTCTGGGGATGTATTTATGGAAAAGATTTGGGTGACTATTGACTTCTAGTGTTTGTTAGCTACACCGATAAACTCACAGCTCCAGTTTAAAACTAAAGAAGAATCATTTGAATCAGTTGTATCAAACTGTGCAGAAATCCAGGACCAGAGTTCCTAAACGCAAAGCAGACTGACCCTCATTTCCATCTAAATATCCAGCGTTTATAAGTGTGTTACAGGACAGAGCTCAAGACATCAGAAACTGATGTAATGCTTGTGGAAACAGAGACTGTGAAAACAAGAAAATGACTGAATTTATGGAAAAAACAAGAAAAAACAGGAAAAGTTTAGCCCAAAAGGAAAAACAGCTCAAGGCTCTCTAAATACATTTTAAAAACCAAAGAAAATAAAAGGAACACTGGTTTTTTTCAGCTTCATCAAATGATTTATCATGTTTCTACAAAGGAAATGAATATTTATGGTAAAGGAAATCTTTCATGTGGAAGGAGCTCTTTTTGGCTGAGAGTTTCCTCTGTGTGTGTGTATGTAGGAACATTTGTTGAGACTGAAACCAGTGAAAGTGGTTTAGTGTTGTGAGAAGAAAGAAACAAGCTAAAAAATGATATGAAACTGCCATAAAATTGTGAGACAGTGGACTTCATGCCACAGACTGTGGCCTGTGTTGTATTTGAAGTGTGGGCCAAAGTCAAGGTTGTTCATGTTCTCCAGTATTTTGTTTTTCATTTATAGCAAACTAAGAGTAACTTTCACTGAACACATACTTTAAAACTATTCCAGTGTGGTTGTGCCACCTCCTGGACACAAAAGGAAGTGCACGCAGAAGATAAAGTCCCTTCTACATTTGTCTTTTGTATTTTTAGAAACAGAGTCAGTAATAAACATGAGGTCATAGGCAGGCTGCAGGTCACGACATCAATTAGCAGCTCATTTGTTTAAAAATAAATACAAAATAACATGGAACTGACATACTATGAACCTCAAACACATTTGCAAAAGAGGGTAGTAAAATGGGCCGATTCCAAAAACCTAAACTGTTACATAACAGTCTTCACTCATTAATATATGCCCTCAAAATTTACATACACCAGCCCACGAGCTAGCCAAGCAGGAGACAATGACAATGGACTGTTTGCAGAAATGTAACATTCCAGGTTGTGAATGTCGGCACTTTTCATATTCTTCCCGAGGAACCGAACTGTCATTGGGCATGTTTGATGTTCATCACGAGGCTGAAGTTGGCTTCCTATTCACCAGCTTCTTCATCAAATTTTTTGTTCCACCTTAAATGCTACAGCTTGTTTAGGAGCCAGAATATAATTGTGGCACCATTTAAGGTGGAATGGAAAATTCTCAAAATAAGCTGGCAAATAGGAAGCTAACTTCAGCTCCCACATCTTTAACAGGATTCCAGAAACTTTAATTCAAAGTTGTTGGTTTGCTCTGCACATTTCACTCCAGACAATTTCTCAAACCTTGGACAATATTGAGCAGCTTCACTCAGCTTTTGAGAATGAAAAGACTGGAGAGAGGTCAGAGACTGGAGAGAGGGCAGTTTCAAACCCCAACAGCAACCTGTAAGCAGCAGCCATGTTTCCATTAGGTAGAACTGAGTGGCTCTGAAATAACTTTCTACAAACAAGCAAAGTTTCAGTTTAAGATTTATTTGCAACTTAGTTACATTTTAATAAAAACTTGCTTTAAACACAGATTCACTAATGAGTTTTCCTTTACTATACTGCATCTTTAGGTCTCTGTTCATAAACATAAACTAGCCAAAACAAATTTACTATAAAATGAAATATAAATAAATTGAGAAAAAAGACGTCAGTCACAATTGCATATGTGACGTTGAACCGTATGCTTGCACTGGGTCGGTGTGTCCAACTGGTCAAAACAAGCTCAAAACAAAGTGCGCGCTGTGCCCTGATTGGTGTTCTTGTTTCGCGCTTCGTTTTGACATGTTATGTTTTTATACACACATAAGGCAAAAGGAATGACAGATTTCTCATAATGTAGTGAAGTAAAAAGTAAAATATTTGACTTTGAAATGTAGTGGAGTGAAAGTAAGTCACCCAAAAAAAAAACTACTTAAGTACAGTAACGAATTACATTTACTTCGTTATTGTCCACCACTGGTAACTAGCATAGCTAACTAAGGAGTAAATAGCTTATAGTTTTTATTTTATTTTTCTGCCTGTGTATATTCTGACACGTTGCTTTAGTATGAGCCATCACGGTGCCTCGCTGTAAACCAAAAAAATCAGAGCAGAGCTCATCAAATTATTCAAAAGCCGCCCAAAAAAGGGAAAACAGTTCATTTTATTCGAGAGCCAAATCATGGGGCTGTAAATAGGCATATAAAACTGCCTCTGGGAATTATTCCCCCTGAACAAAATCACATGTGATCTATGTAGAGATCAGAGAGCAATTTAAAATACAGAATAAATGCATTCTGTGACACTTTGGCACGCATGTCGATAAGTGTTTAAATGTGCATGATCATTCTTTGGTGTCAATATATGGGATAAATGAGGTCTGGTTCTCTTAATATTATAAGTATTTAGTAGTAAATATTTCCCCCCCTTTTCCTTCCTAAAATGTAACATGAAGGTCTTTGTTCTGTTTGATGTAGGCGATTAACCAGGTCTACAAACAGACCTGTGGTGGTGGTGATGGTGGTGTGGGGGTCCCGTTAAAATATAGGCATCGCATTTACTGAGATATATAGATTGTATGATTCAGTGTACAAAGAAGTAAAAGAAACATTTAATACAAAATCCAAGGCTTTTGAAATGACTGACCCACTATTCCGACTGACACTTATTTAAAGAGTGATACTTGTGGCATTAAATTCGTCCTTTACATGGCTGAGGCCATAAAAAACAATCTTAATATTGCAGTGGCAAAGGTGTAGTAATGTTTAAGTGTAATTCAAGCGTAGGAACAATGAACAATATCAGTAAAGCTGTAATACCACTGACAACAAGACTGAATTAATGTCCTCAGTTAATGTCCTCTTGAGAAACGACAGAGAAACTTGTTGTCTCAATATTGCTTACTTTGCTTATTTTTTATTTGTTTATTCATTCATTTGAAGATTAATCAGATGATTGGCTCCTGAAGCATCATTTAACCCAACTGTTGGTTCAGTAGGGGTTGTTCTTGGTGTGCTCCATGATGACCATGAGGGCCCGCCACGTCTCTTCAGCGGTGGGGATGATCTGATCAGCAGGCAGGAGGAAACCGCAACCGCAATCGGGACTGGACCATGAAGGTCTCAGCTCAAAGGTGTAGGAGTACTTGATGCCCTGGTCATAGCTCCAGTCAATGGAGCCACCACTAGCTTGGTCTGAGAGATACAATTGAGAATTCGATTAGAGGCAGATATGAAACAGGATGATTTCATTACTGACACAATAATCGTTGTATGCTTGGCAGCTGTATTGCTTGGATGTTCTGCACTACTAAAATGAAATCAACCCTGATATTTGGGGGTTGGAGAGTTTATTCTAGAATTATTTTAAGGGACCTGCAGCTGCTACTCAGATATGATAAAACAATAAATAGGGTGCGTCAAACACTTCCAAATATTGATATTTGCACTCTGTAGATGTACAGAGTGAGAACTTCCATGTACAGTCTGTAAAGCAGGCCTGGATCCCAGATCAACCAGATCCATTTCCATTAAGTAACATTGAGTTTTCTGTTTTTTTTTTTTCAGGAATTATTGAGGTGTATTGAACTTCAGAATTCTCTGTTATATATGATGCTATACAGACTGTACATATTTTCGTTTATCAATGTTCTCTCAATACCCAGCTTGCGTTGTGCAAATACATCGTATAACCATTAGGAATCCCTACCAGTCCTGACTTTTAGCCTAGCCACTGAGCTATAGGCTAACAAAACAAACAAGCTAGCATTAGTGTAATTCTTACCTCAGGATTTGAAAAAAATTGTAAAGAAATCAGCAATTCTATCTTTATTCAGCAGAAAATGGGCACCAGTGACATTTTTACCCTTAAAGCCAGAGAAAACAAAGGCAAACTGAGGTAACGCGTTTAGATAACCAGGTAGCGACCTTATTAGCTTTTAGCTTGTTCAACTTGGGAGTAGATGGATTAAGCTCTAGCTCTGTTCTACTTACAAATGACGTTGATGATGCTGCCATATTTGTACTTAGTGCCATACAGACTCTTCAAAGCAGCAACTGCCTTCCTTGCAAGTTTATCCTGCAAGAACATAAAAAGAAAGTTTATCATGTAACACAAAGCACTGAAAGACCTGAACTACTAAGTGTCATGTGGAGAGAAGAAAGGAAGTTCTATTTTTCAGGTCTCACCAGCTCTGTCTTGTCCTTGCAAGCAGTCTTGGTGTAGCCGTAAGGGTACAGCAAAAACTGAGAGTAGCTGTGGATGGACACAAAGGCTTTCAGTTTGCCATGAGACTGGACAAAGTCCACAATGGCCTTTACCTCAGATTCTGAATGGGCAGAAGGTCCACAGTAGATTGGATCACATGGGTCTTTACTGGAACCAGGGCCTGGAGATCAAAGTGTTTAGATCTTTAGCTTGATGTATTATTGTACATGAACTACAAAAAAGTCAGTATAGCTTTGTATACTGTACCTCCAAAGCTGGCATTCCAGTTCCTGTTGGGGTCAACTCCAACACAAGGCGATCCAGGATTGGGCTTCCTTGTCTTGCGCCACATGCGGTCCTAAACACATGGCAGATTAGAAGAACCATCATTTATTTGGTTACTGTGATGGACTGTAACCGTGTAACAGATCTTATATGTAGGTTAATGTTTTTCTGAACATGTGAGGGCTCACAGTGGTGTGGGTGAACTGGAATCCATCAGGGTTGACGATGATCTCCAGGAAAATGTCAAATGTATTAAGGATGTCAGTAAGAGCAGCATCACGGTTATAGGAAGCCGCAATCTGCACAATGAGACAGACATGTGTTACAGCTAATGATACACATGGGTTCCACTTCAGGATCTTATTAATATGAATTAGCACTGTTAGTGAAGGAGGAAATGAATAAACTGAACCATCTTGGCAAACCGGGTTCCACAGGCCTGGGTGATCCATTCTCTGGAGTGGATGCCAGTGTCAATCCAGATACCAGGGCGGTTAGGACCAGTGCTAAACTATGTGAGAGAGCAAACAAAGCGTAAGTTAGAAGAAATGGATAAATTTGCTAAAAACAAAAGTAGTTTCATGTTCCACACCTCATTCTTTCCCCATCTGTTTTACTGTGTTATCTAATATTATTTATTTTAATGACATTGAAAACATTAATTAACAGTAGTGACTTACCTTAAGAACATTCAAGGGACGGCCCTCGTAGCTTTGACCAATCACAATTTTGCTAACTAATTTAGGGTTCTCCTTCACCAGCATGTCAATGAAGGTATAAATCTGAAAGTCAGAGCTACATGGTTAGAACTGCAAATCTGATGGTCAGTCAGAGGTCAAACATCAGTTAACATTAATTTACATAAACATGTTCATGGATCAATATCCCTTTCCTATTCCTGCAACACTTCTTTTGATTAGTCGCTGCCATCTGATCATGTCATCAGTGTGTGCTAGATACTCCTCCCTGAGCCACTTGAAAATTCATAACATCAAGCAAATTTATTCACTAAATCTATCCAGGATCAACATGAAGATGAAAGTCTTCGGTCAAAATATGAAAATCTAGTCTGGATCATCATGAATATGATTCACCTGAATCAACATTAGTAAATCTGTTCAGGGTCAAGATGAAGATAATGGTCCTGAATAGATTTACTAACATTGATTCAGGACAATTATCTTTGTGTTATTATTAGTAAATCTATTAAAAATCAACAGGAAGATGGTGGTTCTGGGTCACAATATGCAGATCTACTCAGGATTAATATGAAAAAAAAAAAGTTCGTAAATCTGTCCAGGATCAATATGAAGACAAAAGGTCCCTAGTCAGCATTGCCAAATCTGTTCAGAATTAGTGGTCCTAGATAAACATTAAAACATCTGTCTCGGATCAACATGAAGATGGTGGTCTTGAATGCACAATAGTAAGTTTACCCAGGATAAACAGGAAGATAATATGGATCAACATCAGTGTTTCGTTTTGTTCAACAAACAAACATTTCTGCTCATGAATTTGGTCATGAATTGTTTAGCTGCTCACAATGATGACATCGGATGGTTGTGACTGGTTAAAAGAAAGCTTGTTCCAGGAGCATGTCTGATCTGAAGAAATCACAGTCATCATCTACAAGTCACGTAAGACTCACCACATGAGTAAAGCTATGCATTTTTAGACTGTGATCACATTAAACTGTCATCACATGACTTTAAAATCTCTTGAAATAATTAAACTGATAGAGACAAATATAGGTTATAAACACACCCCTGTGTAACCAAAGCCAGGACATTAAAGCAGATTTTTTCTGACCTCATCCAGGGTGTGGTAGTTGGTGTAGTCAAAGTCATTAGTGGATTTAGGCTGATGAGCACGAAAGCGCATCATCTCCTGCTGTTCCTTATCCACAAGGTCCTGGTGGAAAAGGAAAGTTTAATTGAGTTCTTAGAAGTTTATATTGACTTCTACTCTATGTGTTAATGCTTTTAGGCTTTTAGAAATAGACATTACAATTTTGGTGAGGTGGGTCAGCGACTCAGCGGTCAGATTAAAATTCATGACTGAGAGCTTTTTTTAATGGATAAAACGAGAGGATCTCTGATATTTTGGACATATGAGAAATTTGTTTTCCAACACACTCAAAATGTATACTCTTTTTTTACTAAACTGTTTTGATTAGCATAATAATAATAATAATAATAATAATAATAATAAAAATAATACTCAAAACTTCCCAACCTGAAGATCCTGTATCATGATTTCATAATGGATCTTGTTGTTCTTCAAGAAGCTCTTGACCTTGTGAAGACTGGTTGAGGGAACATGAACATCAACAGGCAGAGACTCGTGAACGGGCTCCCTCCAGAAGTCCAGCTGCACACAGGTGGACAGACACATGCAGCACATTGATATTTTACATGCAAACACTAATGATATATAAATAACCTACAACATTCAGGAAGAATTTTACCTCAAGATATTCATGATCAGTCAGGTTCTTCAGCAGAGAGATCTGAACATCATTGACTGCAGTGATCCGCAGGACCTGGTGTCTGTTAATGTCAAGTACAGTAATTCATGGACTTTTCTTACCGGTGATTAAAACACATAATGTTTATCATCACTGATCAAGAATAATTGTTCAGGAGGACCAAAACTTAACTTTGATTATGTTTTATTCTTTTCTACTAAGAATTTATTCTTAGTCATTTTTGATTATTTTTATTAATCCATTCATCATGAAATTTTGACATGGTGTAAATATTCAAATTCTATAAAGCAAAAAAAAAGACTGTGTTCCAACAGTGATGATATGCATGTAAATATTAAAGTGCAAATTTCTGATATATATATAAGCTTATTTTGAACACATACCTTTCAAAAGTCTTCCTGCCAAAGACGGCCAAAAACAGAGATGCCAAAACCAACAGCTTTCTCATTTTGCCTCCTGTAGCAGAGCTGCTCTGTGACTTTGGCCTTATATACTGTTTCTACACTGATGGGGTCGTCTGAGTTGCTGCACAGAACTGACAACAGAACAGTTCCTACTTTTCTTCATGAACAGCCAGACTAACAGACACAGTTACACTGTAACAGTCCTAACAGCCTAAATAAAAAATAAATAAATAATAAAGTTTGCCACATTCAAGATTCAAGTTGCTTAGATGATAATTTGATAATGATAATTTTCCATCAGTACTATTACATATTTATTATAGATGTTTAATATTAAGTTATATATTTAATATTTAACCTGTTAGTTCTATTTAAACTTTACAATTTTATATACCATATTACAGCACATGCATAACAGAGCAAATATGATTGTATAATGATTAAGGTTACATATAGTCTACATACAGTGCTCCAACAAAGTCCTTCAACTCTCTCTGAACACCATTTGTATCTTGTTTATGTATTTCATACTAATATTAATTGATCATTTATTCATTCATATTCAATTATTCATCAGAGAGTAGCCTGGTCTCAAGATGAATTAGTACATATTTGACTTATATTAGACCATTTCCCAGGATTTGTAGAAACTGAACGAAATGTAGTTCGCCTTTCGTGGATATACACGTTAATTTCTGACGCCAACACAAAAAAATCAAGAGAGGTCGTAACAACCAGCCATGAGAACTGAATCTCTAAGACTTCAGATGATCTTGTAAGAAAAGCTTAAGTAAGACAGGTAAAAGTACTGGAATATTAGTGTCTCTTTCCTTTATGTAGATCAGTATTTAATATTTTATTGAGGACAACATTTTGTGGCATGTCTTTTCATTTGGATGTGACAGGAAAATTCCTTAATCAGTCCGAGACCACCGACGTCTTTGAAGTTTTTATTCTTGCAGCAAAGGAGCAGTTACACACAGAACATTGTCTAGATGCAAATGCTCAATTTAGTTAGGGTAAACAAGGTTTAAACAGACCAAGGACGTCAGCCAAAAATAGCTCAGTCGCAGTTTCGATTGACACCCTTGGTTGGCGCATCCTGTTATTCAGCAAGTATACTGCAATTTTTTCTTAGCTCTGCACAAACATATAAATGGGTCTTTGTGCATGCTCTGCTTGCTACGACCATATATGGTTATACAAAACAGCAGTGTTATACAATGGCGCTTAAGATGTGTTATATAATGGAGCTTTTTGCTTTAATAGAGTACAATAATTTTTCTAACAGGACAGCTTTAAATCTCCTAGGAATGGAGTGAATGAGGCTGGACGTCTGACGCTCAGTCAGCCTTGTTGGATGTTGTTTTGGATGGTCAGAGTGAGGCAGGTTTTGAGCATGTCCTGTCTCTCTCTACCACATCAGTATGTTTTATTCTTGATTTTGGAGTTTTCAGCATATCTTTAATCTTTCTCACCGAAGGTCTACCATTTTTTTGTCAGAGTAATTCAACACAATATTCACATTTTCTTAGTTTTCTAACTTTCTCTGTTTTTCAGAATGTTAATGAAGTTTAGAGTCAGGTGTGCTGGATGGTGTGTCAGAGCTCTGGTTTGAATGTGTGCAGGTGGATTAGTGTTTGTTTTAAGGTAAAACTGGGGATTGGGAGAATGTTTTCCAGCTCACTATTGCTCAGTTAGACTCAAAATATGGATCATATTACAGCTGCAATGCACTTCTGAATATGGTAAAGCACAGTTTCCACAATACAGTAACAAATAAAACAGTTTTATCATCCAAAAAACAAATGATTACAGATATAGGTCCAGCTTTTTGAACCCTTTAGATCTATATTATAATACAAAATCACTGTTGATTATGTATGTTGTTTTTCTAAATTTAATTGACATGTATCCTAAGTGATGTAACTTTTTTCTTTTGTTTGGGTAACAGTATCAAACTTGCTGAATGTTTTCCCTGATTTCTATTGAATTAACTGAATGGCGACTGTCTTGAAAATTACACATTATTTGTATAGACATATTGAATACATGATATACATCTTCAATTATCAGTGGCTCTACTGATAAAGTCTGAGGTGAATGTATTAGGGGGGCTGAGGCTGGCGGCGGTAGTAAATTAGAAGATGATTGTAAAGGATAATGTTTTCTATACTAAGCAAATCTAAACTTCAGTCAATAATAAGAGTAACCTGCAAGACTGTCCTAACTCCCAAAAAGAGGTTTCTTACCCCGTACAAAGTATTCAACTGGGGGGAAACATTTGGTCCAGTTACTCGACAGGAGGCAGAGGCTGATTCGACAAGATTTGTTACCCTTCTTTAATACAGTAAAATCATAAAAAAAAAATAAGAACATTAAAAGCAAGTCAATAAAAGATAGATAAAATAAACTCCCAGGAGCGGTCTGAACATTGCAGGGAGCAGTTACAAGCAGTCCTCCACAGTCCACAGCATGGGTGCAAACACCTGCCCAAAACAAGGAAAAAAAAACACTGGCAGTAACAAGTTCTTTAAAAGCAAGGCTCAGCCCCAACGCCAACGTGGCGGTGCCGCGGTTAACCACTTTCCCTCTCTCTCGTTGTAACCGGCCTCTCTGTTGCGTGTGGCAGCTCTCAGCTTCATTCACGGGCTCCCCACGCCGCAGTTCTTGTAGCCACCCACTTCCTGCTCTTCTCGCCGTGCTCTCTTGACTACCGCCGACAATCGCAACCCTGCGATCGCTGCTTCACACTCTCCCGGGTTTCCTTTTTAAAATAAAAGTCTCCACCTTTGTCGCATCTCTGTTTACTGATTGGTCAGTCATTAATGCAAGGTCCGATTTGGTTGCCTAATCATTTGGCTGGGAGCAAATGTAGTCTGAGGCGGCAGCAGTGGTTGTAGTTACAGCCGTGACGATACCCCCCCAAGGAGTCCAGGACGGCTGAGGAGCGAGGGCACCCACGACGACCACCACCTACCCGACCAGAGGCATCAGAGGTACAGACCCCAGAAGCCTCCCGGTGCTGGACAGGAACCAGATCAGGACATCTTTAGCCGGCACCCAGCTCCTTTCCTGGGGTCTGTATCCTTCCCAGTCTATGAGGTATTGCAGGGTTCCACCATGTCGCTGGGAGTCCAGCACCTGACAGACGGCATAGACCAGTGTGCCCTCTACATCCAGTGGCTTGGGTGGCTCTCTGTCTGGTGAGCCCAGGGACCACTGGCTTGAAGAGGGAAACATGAGAGTAAAATATGGAACTGGGCAGGCAGATTGAGTCTGTAAATAACATCAGTGATTTTTTTGACTACTTGAAATGAATCAATGTACTTGGGCTGCAAATGAAGACTACCTTCCCCAAACCTGGTCTCCAGGCTGAGGGGCTCACCACACAACGCTTGTCTGCCTGCTCCTTTGCACGCTGGAGAGCCACCTCAGTATTACAAGTCTGTTCCCAGACCTCCTCGCTGCATCTCATTCAGTCATCCACAGCTGTCCCACCGATAACGATTGGACAGCAATGTTACAACTCATTAATATTTTCTATTATATGTGAACACATATATAGCATAATCTGAAATGGTCTAATTAACTAAGTTAGTTTTGATATTGCATTATTTATTACAGCCTATGTTTAATTTTATTTGTACATCTACACATTTATTCTTTACTTAATTCAGAGCTCATTTAGTTATTTATTACATAATTATTTGACTGTATCTCAGTATGCAGTTTTAAACATGGTATGTTAATCTAGATCTGAGTCTAGAATAGGTGAGACAGGTGAAAGCTGTAACCCTTTGGTCTCAGCCTATATAACCCAAGTCAAGTCAAAGTCAAAGTTTACTTATGTAGCGCTTTTTACAACAAGTGTTGTTACAAAGCAGCTTTACAGAAAAATCCGGGTCCAAGCCCCCATGAGCGTCACCAAAGGCAACAGTGGCAAGGAAAGAAAACTCCTTAAGATCAAGAGGAAGAAACCTTGAGAGAAACCAAGACTCAAAAGGGGAACCTATCCTCCTCTGGTTGACACCGGACAGCAAACACACACACACATGTTCTAAGCAGCTTAACCCTGCAAACAGTGTTACTATAAAATATTACAATACAGCAACAGGGAAAAACAGGTGAAGCAATGGATATAATTAAATAGTTTAAGTCTGTGCAGCAGCAGCAGCAGTATCATCAGAAAGGTCAGTTCATGCAGATGAGGTTTACACAATGTGGCACAGCGAGAAGCTCCATGGTGGTGGCCCATACAGAACTAAACTAACTCCATTTCCCTACCTTTCTTCCGAAAAAACGACTGCCCACCTGTCCGGCTGGACACTGCTGGATGATTGTTTGTAGAGCTCTCCGGCTACCCGCTTCAGACCAGTTACCCACAACCCAGTCACCGCCACCTGCCTTGGACTGGCTGCCCACTCTACACTGAAGTCTCCTAACTATTACTACCTCCTAACTATTACTACTACTACTACTATTAATATTAGTAGTATAATAATTTTGTAGGTAGTTTGACCAGAGGAGGATGGGTCCCCCCATGTGAGCCTTGGTTCCTCCCAAGGTTCCTTCCCCAGCTCTGAGGGAGTTTTTCCTTGCCACTGTCGCCCCTGGCTTGCTCACCTGGAGGATTTACATTTCATGTTGAAACTTTGTTCTAAACGGATTTCTGTGAAGCTGCTTTGTGACAACATCAGTTGTAAAAAGCGCTATACAAATAAATTTGATTTGATTTGATTTGGTCAAATCGGTCCAGATGGCTGGTGAGCAGTGGCCACCCAATAAGGTAGAAGAAGATACAGCATCAGACCACACAGAATGGGCAGTTGTTCAACAATCACTCAGTTGTTGTTTACACTATAAATTTCAAATCTTAATAAGATACTCATATTTGTCTATCACAAGTAACAGAAGAAATCTACTACATGTAAATAAAAGTTTTGTGTAGGTACATTTTTTAATTCATCAAGGTATAAACAATGTAAATGTTCCCTCAAAGGTACAACAGTGGTTTGAAAGTCCAACTGTGCACCTTAAATGAGTTTTTCCAGGTGAAAAGTGCGTATTTGTACCTTTTCATAATCTAAAGTTTTAAAACAGGACAATAAAATTAAAAAAAAGCCTGGAGGCGAGACGGGGTGTGTGGACTCAATTGATTATGGTACAATTATGTTCCCTGACTAAGGGTACTAAGATGTAACCTGATCTAATTATGCATAATGAAATTCAATCTTGTGTCAGCCTGGCTTATGGAAGACTCTTGCTTCTTTGAGAAGTATTTAAAAACCTCTGCCCAGTAGTTTCTTCTCTCCACTTTACTTTATGGCGCTGAGGCATGAACCCCATACCACAGGCACCTTCATGAGACATCAAATGAGACAGGTGATAGATGGCAGTGCCTCTTTGTGATGACCTTCTGCTGGATCTCTTTGATGTATATCAATTTCAAAGCAACAAGAGAGCCTCATGTGGAAGTATGTATACTGTACTTTCCAAGCCAGCATCCCAGTTTCTGTTGGGGTCAACTCCAACACAAAGGGATCCAGAGATGGGCTTTCTTGTCTTGTGCCACATGCAGCTCTAAACACATGACACAGAAGAATTCAACATCACTAACTTGATTACTGACAGGTGATTCATTATAACCATATCAGTTATTGTGAGGGTATGCATGGTTTCAAATGTTTCAGTTTGACTATGTATGTGACTATGTGACATACATAGTCAGTTACAATCTACACAAGGAAACAGATAACAGTACATTAAAGCCAAATGCTACATGTATACTTGCAGTTGGGTTTCACTTCTGTTCGGGATCACATTAGTAGATGTTTGTTCTGTCATAGAAAGAGAAAAATTTAACCTTCTTAGTGAACCAGGTTCCGCTGGCCTGGGTGACCCATTCTCTGGAGTGGATGCCAGTGTCAATCCAGATACCAGGGCAGTTAGCACCAGTGCTAAAACAAAGTGACAGAATAAACAAAGAGTAGCTTAGCAAAAAGAATTTAGCCAAAATCACAGGTTAATTCCACCTCTTTCTGTCTTCCATTGGTTTCAGTCCACTGTCTAAAATCATTTATGAAAAGTGCCCTAACGTAACGAAACCGAACCAGCCAGAAGCGCGTGATGAAAAATGATAAATTAGGCTTTATTGTTATGGGGTTTGGCAAAACTCAGTATCGTTACCAGGTGATGGTCAAATCCAGAAAGGTCAAAATGCAAAAAAAAACAAACATAACAAACACAACCAGGCAACCAGATCCAAAATGGCAACGACAAAAAGGCAAGGTCAGAGAATCCAAGAGAAGGTCAGAATATCATAAAGGCCATCAGAAAAAATGGCCAGTAGCTGTCACAAGAAGAAACAACACCTTACGAGGAAAAAAGCTTTATACTAACTATGTCTAGTCATCTGACAACAAGAACAGACAAGCCAGATTAGCATTCGGGAGAGTGAGAACAATCATTGGAGTGCTGTGGAGGGTCAGCAGGTATGTAATCTCCCAGAGGATTCTATGAGATGGAGTTCATAGAAACATTACAGCTGGAGGGATGCATGACAGTACCCCCCAAAAAGTCTGAGACAGGCACGGGACAGTCTCAACCACGACAACCACCACCCACACGGTGGCATGACTGGGAACATGCCTAGAGCCAGCACAGCACTGGACCTGGGAGGTACTCCTGAGAAAACGACCAGATAGCGAACTGGGGAAAGCCCTCCTCGGGTGACCCCTGGGGATGGAGTGGGCTTATCTGGGTGCTGACTGAAAAAATCGGCCATCAACCCCGGGTCCAAGATATCTCCACCAGGTATCCAGCACTGCTCCTCAGGGCAATAGCCTTCCCATACTGTAACTGGCCTCCCCTTCTCCTGGAGTCCAGCAGCTTACAAAGAGCATAAACTGGGGTCCCATCAACCCCTTCCAGAGGGGGGGGTGCATCAGCAGGCAAAATCTCATCCAATGGAAAAAACGTGGAATGAGTGAGAAACCTGTTAACAAGAAGGCAAATCAAGTTTATAAGTAACGTCATTATCAATTTCAAGGATCTTAAATGGACCAGTGTATTTAGGATGTAACTTCTTAGTTCCCTCAGCAAACCTGAGGTCCTGAGTCGATAGCCAAACCCGGTCTACTGGCTGGTAAGAGGCCATGTCACCATAGTGGTGCTTGGCTTAATGTTTGTGGAAGAACTGCCTCAACTTTTTTAAAATGTCTCCTTCCAGACACGCTTCCTGCTTTGCATCCATCATCAACAGAGGGGACATTAGAAGAGAGTCCAGTCCATGGGGCAACAGGTGGTTGAAATCCGAGAACACACTGGAAAGGGGTGATAACAACAGTAGAGCTTTTAAGTGAATTTTGTGCTGTTTCTGTCCAGACTAAGTAGCGTGACCATTCGTTGGGGTTATTGTGACAGAATACTGTAAGGAATTCACCTAATTCTTGATTAATTCACTCGTATTTTGATTGTGGGTGGCACCCAGAAGTCAAGCTAACCGAAACCCCGATATGTTCAAAGAAGGCTGACCACACTTGAGATGTGAATTGCAGACCTCTGTCAGATAAAAGTGGTTTTAAAAGTGGTAGTGGTTTTAAAGTGGTGGGCAAAGAAGGAAATGGAATGAATCTTACACTTTATGAGAATCTTTCGACAACAGT